CACTTGAAAATGTAGCCCTCCATCTTAAATACAAAATAATTATTGTTAATCAACCATACATTAATATTCTGTACACCTAAGACATTTTGTTTTGAGTACCTTTAACTTGTATATCAAATTCAGGAAATATTTGAGGTTAGTAATACAGATGTAGATAGCAACATGGTCACATCATCCTCTCCAAGCTCAGACACTGAAGGGATAGTAGTAGAAGAAATAGTAGCCAGTATGGAAGGCAAAGGGAATCAGAACCTAAAAGAGGCACCATTCCCCTGCCCCCAAGTCCATGGAGTATGCCCCCTACTCATGAACACTATGTGCTAGAAGCTCTGTGGGTTTTTGGTGGAAAATCTAACCAAAAGGAAGAGGGTGATGTCAGGTATAGTCACTCCATGCGGCATCATCTCCTGGTAAACCCACAGCATTTCCAGTGGAAGTTAACACTGACAATTTCAGCAATAATTGTGATTCTATGACTCTTCAGAGAGTTTGTAATATGTGTAGCTGGGAGGGAAGGAACCAGTGGCAGCATAATTCTAGAAGTAACTGCGCTGTCAGGAGGGAGCAGCCCTCTGGTTTCTCTAACCTCTGCCAGGGGATGATTCAACCACCTAGCCAGCCCAGGATGTGGGGAGGTATATGGGTGTCCTAGAGCCTCCCTTGCTCCAATGTTCCTCCAAATGGCACCAAGTGTGAGCTCATCAGGGTATTGAAGACTGAGCTCTGAGATTTTATTTCTTGGCCCTGGTCACATGACAGGGGCCAGGATGACAAGGGCCATATACTTCGAGTCCTGATCTATGACAGGAGCAATATCCAGTGACTCTCAGGTTACCCTTACACTCCCTAACCCTATCCAGACCTGGAAATCACTCACCCAAGAAGGGAGAAGGGCTAGTGTTTACTAAGGCTTCAAAGCTGTGGAAAAAATATACTTATTTTTTCTTTGTGACTGTGCAAGGAAAAGGGTGATTTAGCCCATATTTCAGATGTTCCTATATTAATATTCCTACCAAACATACAGTATCCACAAAAGCAACCAAAAAGGGACCACTTTGGACATCTCGATCCAAATTCTTCTCCAGAATGCATGGCCTTGACTTCAATAGGAATTGTATGTGCATATATAGTTGGTTCTCAATCTACCAAATTTTGCTATTTTGGAGAAAACTTTGAGAAAGTTTGGGCCTAATTCTGCATTTCTTGTCTAGCCCAGCCTCTCACTGGAGCCAATGAGAGTTTGGGGTGTTCAAGTAGTGTATGAGTTGACCTTCTGCTAGGATTTTCCTCATTTTTATATTGTCCCAGATTATGTTTTAAAAATATACTAACCATTCAGTTTAATAAATTTATATCTAGGACCTTATGTGGTACAGACTTTGGAAATTATACCCAACCCTGAAGTCCCTATGAATGCTTAACTCCCACTAAAGTCAATGGGAATTTTTATATGTGTAACCATTGCAGGATCACATTCTTTAAGAGATTTCAGATCCAATACTTTGATCTGCTGAGTGCCTCCTGGGAAGTGCTAAGAAACCTCAATTTACACTGATGTCAGCAGGTGCTGAGATACATATCACTTCCCAGTATCAGGGATTTAGGGCCCAATCTTGTCATCATTCCACACACAGAACTGGCACTGAAGCCTATGGAAATTTTGTGGGTGAAGTAAGGCCCCTGTCTATAGTCTAGTACTATTTGCGGTGAAAGCAGCTGCATCTAAAAAACTGTGTTTTAAATCAGCCTTGATCTTAGTAATGATGGTTAATATTATTGCTGACAAGCCGCATTTGCTAAAATTATTTCTATTACCAGACTTAAGAGATTTTAAATAAATATTGTTTTTAAACATGGCAGGGTTTGCTGCTATTTAATCATGTAATACATTCTTAACTGTGAAGTTCCTTATTCCAGTCCTAGTTTAGATGGAATTCTGTTTAAGAAATGAGATATTCTAGCATTTTCAGTGGCTGCTCCCGAATGATTTGCATTTACATAACAGCTTTTAATAGAAAAAGCACTTTACAAAAGCTGTAAGAAGTAGGTACTAGTAACTGTAGTACTTTGAGATTGTTGCCTCTGCACAGTCACACTTGTGGAATAAGCAACTATTCATGCACAAGCTTGGACTCTTCCTAAGAACCGATTGGTCAGGGTCATTAAGCCCTCCTTATCCTCCCCCCTGAAACAGAGTTCTCCGGGTACAAAAGTGGGAGTTTTCTTAAAGTAGATTACTCTAGGGTTAACGAAAGCTGTTGTCTCATGTATTGGAGTTTGGTAAACTGATTTGGCAGCCCACTCCACCCTAACAAAATTCAAAGTCAACTTGTACTGTTTCAAGTGCATTAGACAGACCAAGTTAAAACCAGTTGAGGACCATCTCGGGTCTACTCCCAGAGTAGCGAATTTGATTTGAATGGAGTAAGTGAAAGTGGATTGCCCAGCAAAGCTTGTAGCTGACTCAGGCTGCTTTAGTGTAGAGCATGAACCATCCCAATTATGGCTTGGCAGTCAGGATTCTAAGGACTCCAGTGGCTTCCTTTTTGCTGAGTAAAAGGGCTTGATTTATTGTGCCCCTTCATGGAACCACAGACAATACGATCCGGTTCTGAGGACCAGTTTCTGGAAGATCTCCAACCAAGAAGGTCCTGACAATTAAAAGCAAGACCCTTGATCCCAGAGACCTGAGCTCACTAAACAGGACTCCGTGCAGAAGAGCTCTCCTTTGACTCAGGCAAGACCTGAGTTTCTGATGCAATCTACAGACCCTTAATATAAAAAGATCTTCTGGGTTAACTTGCCCCTCTCATTGATGGTGCCATGCCTTTGGTGCTGCACATGGTCAACCTGGATGATATCCAGGACCTTGAAATTGGCAAAGCTGGGCCCTTGGCACTGGACTCAGTCAACCCTGAGGAACCAAAGTCTCTTATGCCAGACATAAAACCACTCTGATGAGCAGCCTATGGAAGTGAAATGCCTCTTAGCATAGACTGGGCTAGACCCTGAGCACCAAAACATTACAAAGGGACAAACTCTGACAAACCCAGGGATCTCAAGTCACTTACACCTGGGAGAAAGCCTTCATGGCGCGTGTTCTTTGGAGCAGACAGTGCCAGACTTTCAGCACTGGACTCGTTTGACTAGGGTGTCTGCAACACGGAGATACTATTTCCTTTGGTTTGTTTTAAAAGGAAAAAATGAAAAACTAACCAATTAATGGGCAGGATGATGGAGTATACACACCCCTCACCAGTCAGGAAAGGGTTAACGAGCTGCTGTGGGCTCAGCCAGCCCCAATCCACTATACCTACATTGGGGTCAGGCTTGGAGTCGGGGGCCAAAAAGGGGGAGAGCCCACTTCAGTTGGGTGCTGCCTAAGAGGGAGAGCACATCTCCAGCTCTCACTCTGTGAGAGAAGCCTAGCTAGGGTTAGGAATGAACTTCAGCCTGCCACAACCTCCCTGAGGGAAGGAAATCCTGAGCTGGGACCATTGTTCTGATTTGCTACCAGTCACTTGCCTATTGTTGCTGAGCCAGACTGCGGCAGGAAGTGCCCTCCTGAAGAGAATGATAACCAACTAAAATCCTTTGTCTTCTGCACCTGACTGGGGATGCAGCAGGTAGTTGTAAGTCCAGGAGTGAAAATGGTCACAGGTGGGGGGGAAAAAAGCAACAACAATGAGGAAGGTGCAAGGGTACCAAGTAAGCCTTGAGCTCACAGCATCTTCAATAGTCACAAGAACCCAGTGGCTGTTGGGGACCACTCCCCCATTTATACTCCCAGAACCCTAGGTGAAGGGGGAGGGTAAATGGCCCCAACAGACACTGCTTTCTAGAAGATTCTGAGCTGAGGGCAGGCTTGTCCCATTATGTAGAGCAGTATCAGGGGGTAGCCGTGTTAGTCTGTATCCACAAAAACAACAAGGAGTCTGGTGGCATATTAAACACTAACAGATTTATTTGGGCATGTGGAGGAGTGGTTCTCAACCAGGCATACTCGTCTAGTCCAGAGTCTTGACTCTAACAGTGGCCAATAAGACCCCTCTTTTGCTGGCAGAGATAGTAGTGCTTCCCCACCCCCTCCTATGATCTCAGTTTTTAAACTGCCCCTGAATTTGATTCCCCCAGAGGTTAAATGTTCAAACCCTCCAAATCAACCATGGCCAGTACTGGATGCTCCAGTGGAAGCTATAAGAACCCAGCAGTAGGCAGATGTGGGATAATCTGCCAACATCAGATTTTATCCTGACCTCTAGGAGAGATTGGTTTACTCCTTGAAAGTTTAATATCCCTTCCAAAATGTTTGTTATATAGGAAAAGATCCTTCTGTAAACTTTTGAACCCTACAGAAATTAATTTCAGGGTTGTTTCATTTTGTGAAAATTTTATAAAAATAACTTTTTTTTAGTATGTTTTACCTAATGAGGGTCCTGAACCAAAAACCTGGTTCCAAACAATCCAGACTTTGGGAAAGTTTGCATCTAGCTCTTCGCATTGTGGTCAGCTCATATCTCCATAACGGACCAATGCAAAATTGTTAATCCAAATGCTCCCACATTTTGGATCTGGACTCAAACTTTATGGTCAGGCAGAGACTTATCTTTAGATCAGAGCTGAAGAAGGATCTAAAGAAGGATCTTTTCTATTCTTGGTAACACCTGTCAAATTCATCAAAATCAGTGGGCTTGCAAGAGTGTAACAACAGAATTTAGCCCTGTACCTCTACTAAAAACACAAGGCACACCACTGGGGCAAGGGGGAGCACGTGACATGCCGTGCGCTCTGGGCTAGACCAGCTCCAGGTTTTGCTTCCAGCAGCAGCCCAGACACACACTGCCCTGTGCGTTGTCTCTTTGGGGTGGATCAGAGGGTGAGGGCAGAACGAGGGCAGCGGCTTCATGGGTGCAAGTGCGCATGTCGGGATCTCTGGCCGGGCTGCCTCACGCCCAGGGAGCACAATCTCACGCTACAGTCTCTCCTTTGCCTTGCAGCTGGGGGAGGGGACCGACGTTGCTGCGTTACGCTCCGGCGGCACGTGGGCGGGGAACGTAGCTGCAGCTTGCGGGGCGGGAGGCTAAGTCAGGTAAGCGGCGCAGTGGGGTTTCCAGAATGCGGGGGCAGCGGCTGCTTGCTCAGTGCCCCTTGGGGGCGTCCGTTGGAGCGCCAGCGGATGCGGCGTTCCCAAGGCCCGGCAGGTCAGCCACGTAGGCTGGGGGGCCGCCAGGCTGCCGGGGGCAGGGCGGCGGGGCGCCTGAAACTGACAAATCGCCCTGCTTTTGTGCCGTGATGCGGGGTGGGTCTGGTGCGTCCCCCTGGGCTTTGCGAACGTCTGCCCTGGAAACAGAGCCCCGGAGCCGTAGAGATGGGTGCAGAAGTGCTTGGCGTCAGGGATATGGGGGTAGCTGCTCCCCGGCGGGTCTGACTGTGAGGGGGCTGGAGAAAGACAGGCCCCCCTCCCCTCGCTGTGGGAGGGCCTTTCGAAACATCGAGGTGCAACTGCAGCAGGGCTGTTTTTCTCCTGTTAGGGTTGGGGAGAGCTTCCCCCCTGCCCCCCTGGGTGTGTATATGCGGGTCTAAAAGCCTCTCGGGATGCGGCGGATATTTTGCTGCGTGTCATCTTCCTCCTTCAGGCGGCCGCATCCTTAGACACCCCTCAAGCAAGGGTGTTGCCTCCAAGTGAGTGCCCTAGCCTGAAAAGTTGCCTTGAGGCCTCAAGTCCTGTTAATTTCAGTGGGAGTTGAGAGTGAGCACCCCATCTCACAGGCCTGGGTTGCAAATCCTGCCTTGGCAAACTATCGGTAATACGAATAATGCACATTCAGCCTAACAAGTAGAAAGTCTTACTACTTCCTGTGACTCTAGAGTTCCCAACTCTGACTGAAGCTATTCCAGGAGATTTTTTCCCCCCAAAATGACATAATGTCATTTTCTTTAAAGAGCCTATTAAAATATTCTGGATTGCTTTCAATAGTCACTGGGAGATGGATGCCAATTCCGGGAGACGCCAGGCCAAACCTGGAGGGTTGGCAACCCTACCTGTTCTGTGAGCCCTTTCTGATGCTGTACTCTTTCTCCCTTCCCACCACCCTTTTCAGGGCAGGCTGTCAAAGTCGGGACTATTGTCAATCTAATAGCTGCTGTGGGAAACACAGTGAACCATTAAAAGCATTCTACAAATTTAAAAATAAATCTGACCATTCACAATGTTTTCTGCCTTTTTCCCCCTCTCAGTTTTGTATTGCTGTGGACATAGGCTCCTGTTACTTATTCTCCATCCTACTCTTGTATTTGTGGTAAAGTCATTTCCATAGCAATTCTGATACATGCAGATTGTGACTGGAGTGAGGAATGGGTGGCAGGAGCAGATACCCTTAGAATACAGAGGTTAGAAGTTTATGTCTACACTGCCCACGTTACAGTGCGGCTGTGCTGTGACGTGGGCAGTGTAGACACACTTTATCGCCAGGAGAGAGCTCTCTTCGTGATTAAAAAACAACAGCACCCCAAACAAGGGGTGGTAGCTTTATCGCTCCCAGCGATAAAGCACTGTCTATACTGGTGCTTTTCAGCGCTAAAACTGTTGTCACTCAGGGGGGTGTTTTTGAATGACAAAAGTTTTAGTGCTGAAAGTGGCAGTGTGTAGACAACCTAAAAAATCAACCTGCTGTGGATAAATGGCTCTCATCAATGGGTCCCATTCAGCTGGAGTTGAAAATGGCTTAACTGAAGTGTAGACAGGACAAAAAATATGTTCAGCACTGTATGTGAAGTAAACCATGATTGAGACTTGGAGCTGGATCCTCCACTGTGATCTGAATGCTTTGTGCTGCTCTGCTGGTAAAACAGTTTAAACCAGCTACCTGGGGATTTTCCTAGTTTAAGGAGAATTCCCCCACTGACATAGAACTAGCATAGTGTCTCTACACTCCTCCTCACACCCACAGGCCCTTTAGCATAGGGAGTGTTCATACCGAAGAGGGATGTGGCTGGAACACTCTTGCATTGTTGGGGGAATCCCCACTTGCTAATTTTTTTTAAAGCCATAAACAGAAGGGCACAATTTTGTACAGCCCTTGGCTACCCCTCGGATTGGAGATCAGTAAGAATGCTCTAAAGCCACCTTTGCGCTCCCCCCCACCAGCTGGCCAAGTGCTTCCCCAGCATGTCTAAGGGTTGGATTTTTGGAGTGTGATAGTGTGACTGACTCTGGTTCAGCTGTGAGGTATGGCCCTATACCGGGGTAATCAATTATTTTTTGTCAAGGTACAGTTAAGGTCCAAACTCCAGAGAAAATAATACAGAAATAACAACAATAATGATAATAAGTTTAAAAAAAAAAATTTCATGGTCCATTCAAAAGCGTCTGGCGGTCCGAATTTGGCCCGTGGTCTGCTTAATGACTACCCCTCCCCTATAGTGTTAATGGCTAATGGAATGCTGCTTTAGCTCAACAAAGCATGACTCACTTTTTAACAGTGTGTAAAATGATTTTATTCTGCCTATATTGGTAATTAAAGGGGTGTTGTCAATTTACTTTCTTGAAAAAGTGAACCTATTCTTGTTATAAGTATCACCTGAGATCACTATAATTGCAAAGGATTAGAAAAGAGACATTTCTCTAACTTTTCTATTATGTTTATTTTGTGCATTTGATAGCATGTAGGGTGTACAGTCATTTCCCCTGGTTCTTCAATTTTGTGTGTGTGTGTTTGGGGGGTGGGGGTGGGATGGGGATGGGATGTGGTCTTGCTCACAGGAACAGAAGATACAATCACATTTTCCCATTTTTGAAATGTTTTTCTAGGATCACAAATAGGCTGGAAGAACTCAGGTGCCTATGTAGTATCTAAAACTACTTTAAACTCATTTATTTTGAGATTGACTACTTTTCAAGTTGATGTTTTCGCCACTGACTCAGTGGAACAAATCATTGTCATTATTGTAGAGTAGACCTATAACTTCTTTGGAAGTCAAATTGGACTTCTTGTTGTTTAAGGAATGCAGGACTGAACCTTTAAGAAACAAAGACTGTGATTCTGATTTCGTTCAAATGCTCCCAGTAAGTAGAAAGCAGTATGAGGAGAAGTATGGGAACTACTATCGGAATGATCCAAATAGAATGTTTTCTATTATGTCATTTAGTCTTGTTTAACTTACATACTGTGGTGGGTTTTTTATTTATGTTTCTGCAGACTGTCACAATACAAATCCTAGGTCTGGATGGCAGAATCGTCCTTTCTGTTAGAGTTGACCTAGTTTTGGCCATCCCTCACAGTTTTACCAATGTGTTGATGTATTATGTATCAGGATTCTTCTCATGCAAGTTGGCTTCATTAGGAAAAACAAACAGGAGTCTTTCCTATAGCTTGTGTTCTTTATTTATTCTTTGCTCTTGTGGGTTTTTTTTACTCCTGCTCTCTAGCTGCTTGATGTGTGTAAAGTGCCTCTTCACCAGTCAGACTAGGAAAAATCTTATTGTCCAGTAGCTGAGGACAAACAAAACCCAGTCAAGGCAATTGAAATTTAATTACTTACTGCTAACAAGGCAGGATGCTGACCTACACTTAGGAGGCTTGGGGGTGTATTGACTCATAGACAAACAATTTTGGGTCTAAACTGCTTTCCCTGCTTTTATTTAGTAAATGAATGTCAATTATGCAAAATTACCTAGTATTATAATAGTATTGGGAAGGGGAATAATTGTTTTTCTGTAGAAAAATATGATGGCATTTTTGCTTCTATTTTCTGGAGGAAAAGCATGGGGGGAAAATAACTTCCAGCTCAGTCTGATGTTTTATTGGGGCTGAGGTGGATTTGTTTTAAGGGACTACTGCTTTGGCATTTTATAAAATATTACCTATGCAAGAGTTCAGCATCTGATGTGGTGGGATAGTAAATTACATAGCATTCGCAGTATTTTAAAGATTGAAACAACTTGATCATTTCTTATTTGTTTGAGGCCAAATGTTGCCCCCAGTGCACAGTCTGAGAACCTGGAATGTGTGTTAGGGCAGTGTTTCATAGTGGTTTGCTAAACACTTGTTGGTTCATAGAAACCTGACGGCTCACATGGTGCTGGCTCTCTTCCTTGTTTCCACATTAGAAGACAGCTAAAGTATATTAAATAATTTTCTAATATTACTTGTCCATATAAGCAATTGCTGTAGTTGCCATGTGGATGTTACATTATCGGGAAAGGGGGAGGAAGTGGTCCGTATGCTCCTAAAGGGGCAGGGAGTTAGTCTATGAGTCAATCTTTCTGTGAAATAAGGTGCACACTATGAAAAGCCTGATGAACCCCTGTGCTAAAGTGATGTATGAGTGGGAGGAAATCCTTTCCCTAGGCCATGCAGTGGCAGTGCAGCTGTTCTGTAGTTTAAGAGTTGTCATCACCCCGTGGCTGCAATATGCCCTCTTGGCTAGCAGGTGAGTATGGAAAATAACTTCTGATGCGCATAGTTGCTGCTTAACCACAAAGTACCTTGGGGTTCCCAGTTGGAATGAGGGACAACATTGGCTTTGGCATCATAGAGTAAGGCAGTGTTTGGTACAGTACAGTGTATTTTAGTGGCTGTGTTTTTAAAATTATGTCAGCAAATGACTTTGAATTAAGTATTAAACTAAGGCTGTTTTGTAAACTGAAGTAAAAACAAAATAAACATTTGTTCTTTTGACTTCTTTCTGATTGGCTCAGTTTTGACTCAACGGCTACAATTTTCATGAAGTCAATGCGATTGGATAAGAAAATGAACTAAGAGAAAAATACTTGAACTCAGCCTTGTGAATGGTAGCACAATTTCTTTCTCTTTTTTGCACACTAAGGGAAGGGGCTTACTAGGACAGTATATATTTTCATGCTCATTGGCCCCTTGAGGTCAGTGGTTTAGTTTGAATGACTGCAGTATCGGTAGATTACTTACTTTTAAGCAAAAAGCGCATAATAATGTTAGTGATCTATACACAGATCTATGTGTGGGTATTGTATACATTCCATGCCTAGGCATTGCATGAGGGGATGATTGAGGTCAATTGAGAGAGAATTTGCTGGCTCCACTTGCTGCGGTGTGTTTATAAATTGTGGCA